TTTTATCTTCATTCCCTGGCACGGGCGGGGCTGGCACGGGCGGTGTCATTATCACTTCACAAATAAATGTTCAGTTTTTTTTTTTTTAGAAAGTTCACAAAAACCACAATGAAATGTTTATATTTTTCCACCAAAGTTCGTCGCCATATGTAGTAGGATGAGGTGGCTAGTGGTAAGTAAAGCACGTAGGTTATGGTGAAAAACACACTTTAATATTGGAACAAGAACTAACAAATTATAACTAAGAACGAGGAACGAGTAAATGATGTAACTATATAATTGAGTGTTTATTCGCGCAAATATGAATGTGAGGATTGTTCGTATGTATGCACTGGAAGACCGGCTGTACTGTTTGTATGTTTAAACCACGTGTGTATGTCGTGTGTAGATACACAATGTATGTCCGAGCTGACTACCGTCTTACGCAATCGCGCTAGACCAACTGACTCTTCATACGCGGTGGACTCCACAGAACACTCGCCACCTGGCGTAGTAAAAAGTAGTCCCAGACAAGATACTCTACTCTCATTTACTGTAACTTCAGTGTCGAATCTAGTGCCAGTGGCGTAACATTAAAATATGGTAACCATGTTACCACAATTATAGGTAATACTGATTTAGAAATTAAAACAAAACATTGACAGCCAGATGCAAGAACGTTCAATAAAATTTACGAATAACGCAATGTATTTTTTTTTCTTGTAATTTAAATTTTAAAACTATCTAATTTCTAATTACTACTTAGTTAAATACAACTACTTAACTATACTGCAATTTTCATAAAACGCTAATAATAATAATAATATACCAAACGTTGCTCTGGTTGCTCTACATAAATTGACAGCTATATTTGAAGTTAAACTACCTCTAAAACACTGAGAAAACTTGGCAGTTTTTTGTCCACGAATCGCCCATTTAGTTTCGCTTCTTGGGTAGGTATTCTTTGTCTGGGCCTGAACAAATGTTAAATCGAAACTGAATAAAAAGCCGGTAATCAGTAATTTCCGTAAAACAAGTTAGCTCACGTCTACTTCTCCTTCTACCGATTATGAGATCAATGCGCTAGTTCAGTGATGATGTAATTATGGTTCCACTGACAATTAAAGTGACATTAGATTTTTTGAGTGCGTTTTGTTTACCTAAATTATATTTTATAAATATATTCCTAAAGTAAGTAGATAACATGCATAAAATATACAATCGTTTAGTTACCAATTACATACCTTTAAACAGTCTTTTATGACCTGCAAACAATATTTAGAAAAAATCTTAAGCATTAAAAACGTATATGTCAAATTTATTAATGTTTTTGTTAAAAGTTTGGTTAGAAATAAATGTCAGTGGAACCAAAATGACATCACACCAAAGAAGTAGAGAGGGTAGAACGATAAAGTACCGTCTGCGCATACATCACGAGTGTAGAAATTATGCGTGATTCAACCTTCCACTCTTATACATGTAAATGACAAGGAGAGGTTGCCCTAAAGCACTGTAAACAAATTCCAGGATTGGCTCTGTTCAGCGATTATGTTCATGTTCAGCTCTGTTGTTTGTTTTGTGGCTGTTGTAAGCTTTTTTGGCGTCAATTCTTTGTTATCTTGCGTATATTTGTGATTTTTTATGCTTTTATTTCAATTTAGTATTAAATTATACTTGTTAATTATTTTCCGATGCACTATTTTATAATTGTTGCACAAAATGTTGTTAAACCGTCCCTGAATTTTGTTTACAAAATGTGCAAAACGAAATTGTGCATAGTGTCTAGACTTTTTCATTGACAGTTATCATTCTACCCCTCTCCACTTCATTGCATCACACTGAACCAGCGCATTAAATAGCAAACAAGCGAGCATATACGAGGGCTAGTCAAAAAATATATTTGAAATTTTCTGCATTATAGCGTAAGTAAGTCATGGACCCTGGGCCCGGTTAAAAATATTTTGTTTTTAATATATATTTTTTTTGAATCATTGGGACAATAACGAATAGTTTATTCACTAGCGCTGTCAAATTTAAATAATAATTTTTTTTGCCCTTTTTGAGGGCCGATGGGCCCGGTTAAAATTAGCCCGATTATCATTTTTTTTAACAATATTTTTTATTTCCCTCATACACAACTTTTCTTTGGTAGCGCTTATGAAAATTTTTTGACCCACCTTAATGAAGGTATAAGGTAAATAATACCAATAAAAATATTAAATTTTTTCATAAATTATAGGTATTATGTGACAAAATCAATAATCTGGCCATAAGATAAGTAAAGAATATAGATAGACTAAAAATACAAGTTTAACTCAAATTTGTACTTTCTGGGTGTGGTAATTCTCTTGAAATCCCTTTTATTTTGTGAAATAAAAATGTGTGCAGAAACAAATTATTTATTTATAAAGAATTACTTTTTATTTGGTATATTTAAACATTTTTTTGTCAAGTTTACTTTGAAAAATCTCAAAACTAATTTTTCTGTTCATATATCTTATTCTTATATATGTTCGTGTCCTGCTCATGCACAGTATTACTTCAAAAGGGACCGTTGTACTGAGACATGAAACTACTGTTTAATCTGCTAAAATTTTAAAATACGTATTTATTTTCTTTGCCTCTGAACCTATTATACTTGGGCATTTTACTAACCATTATATAAATTAAGTTTGTCCTTTCTTGGACAAGAATTTACCCACAATTTGTGGCATTTGGAAATATTTTACATTACATTATTTTTAGATTTCGTATTATGGTTTTTTCAAGTCGCCACCGCGCACCCCGTCATTTATTTAAACATTAATTCGGTTCTTCTCTGTTATATACGGAAAATATAGTCACTACTAACACAAAAACAAATAAATTATTACAATATTTTACACCAGCCATACTCAACCTGCGGCCCTCCAAGCTTTTTTTGTGGCCCGCAACACTATTATTGGTCGCAGCGCTAAATAGTATGCTAATTTTTAAATAAACGTTTGGAATTTTGTGGAGTTACTGCAAAAAGAGATAGCTCCACTTTTGGAAATTTCGAGTTAAGTATATAGGTACACTTTCTACAAGTGCGAAAAAAGTCTATATTCATGATAAACAGATAGCCAATAAAAACTAACTCCATGTTAATACATTAATAATATGGACAAACAAGATGGAGTGGCATTTATACCAAAACATAATCATAACATTGTGTTCAATTGATAAATGTGTCTATCAAAACCAGATAATAGGCATATAACTTATTTTTGCTAAATATACTTAGTCCGATTCTTACTAGTGTTCCTGCCAAAACAAGATAAAGGACAGAACCGAGGGGAAAGAAATAAGGTCAAAACGTACCTGTATTTCGGAAATCACTTAAAAATTTTTTATGTAATTTAGATGATTTTACTGAAAATCCACCTTAATTTTATACGATGATCTTTTTTCTCACCATTTTGGGTTGTGAGCGACGAATTGATTTCGACCATGATTTTGGAATTTTCGAGAAAATGTGTAGTGATTTCCAGTGAAAACGTACCCGTATTTCGGGAGTGGTTTGCTGCTACTTATTTTTGTTAAATGTGTTTGTTGAAATATTACAACATTGTGCCCACGCCATTTGTTTTTTTATGACTAGAGCCATCTCTGGCTTTATATGCTAAACTCGCACAGTATTTATTCAGAGGGATGCATAAAAGGATGAAATAAAGTTTTGAAAATACAAAAAAGTGCAAGAAAGGTTTACTAAAATTTTGCAAAATCAGATACACCTGATGAATTTCACCATTATTATCACAATCTACCTGTATCCAATAATGTTACTGAACCTTCGACTGAAGATAGTGAAACATACATTGAATTATGATTAGTATGTAGAGCTAAAATAAGCTGAGTGACGTTTTTCTCTTTTTTTTACCAATTATTGATAGATTATTAGTTTATACTTTGTGAACAATGTTTTCAATGATGAATTTCATCATTATTATCACAATCTACCTGTATCCAATAATGTTACTGAAACTTCGACTGAAGATAGTGAAACATACATACATTGAATTATGATTAGTATGTAGAGCTAAAATAAGCTGAGTGACGTTTTCTCTTTTTTTACCAATTATTGATAGATTATTAGTTTATACTTTGTGAACAATGTTTTCAATACCTTCTTCATTGAAGTTAATAAACGGTTTGAAGCTTTCACTGATTTTTCATTCAGTTTTAAACGTTTGAATAGTGTTTTATCGAAACTCTAAAAATGTGAATTATCTTGTTTTTGCAGTAACACAACGGGATATATTTATGTTTTATTTATTAGAGGTCCCTAACTAATTTTAGATAGATGTTCTAAAAAAAGGTCATCTTCCAAAAATATTGCGGCCCGTGTAACATAGCACATATACGAATGTGGCCCGAAGGAAAAAAAGGTTGAGTATGGCTGTTTTACACTATTCAATCGAAAAGTGTTAAAATAACTTGAAAGTTTGTCCCGCATTACGTCACTGCGCGGTTTGGACGAAATTTGAATCAAAAGTCAGCATATCGTTAGTATGTGTATCGTGGTAGATGACTCAAAAATTCATTGTTAAGACTTCTACATCAAAATTGTCAGCGATTGATAGAAGATAATGTCAAAATGGTCAAACAATAGGTGCCAGTGGGAAGTTCTTGTATATCTAAGGGGGTAGCGACATAATCTTGCATCTTGGACGCTAGTTTTTTTCGAAATAGTAGTCGCCAAGTGTGCCAATTTATGAAGAAATGTATAAGCGAGTCTTTTAAATATTATTTTTATTGTGTTTGACAAAATATTTAAATGTTATTCATTATTCATGATTTTACCTATAGTAAATGCTTAATTGACAGAACACCAAATCGTGGCACAGACAAGAGATGGAAGAAAAATAACGTTATCACACCATAGATATACCGTTACAATATGAAGTATTTTCTCTACGTTTACTTGAAGTACTAAGTACATTTAGTAGAAATATTATTTTCTGCTCAATTCAAAATATTTCTGTTAATGAAACAAAAACAAAATTATAAATATGTATTTAACAGAAAGACAGAATCATAACAATATGTAAAATATAAAGATGCACGGCACTTGGGAATATTTAGTCACTGAGTGGACTAAAAACTGCAGAAAAAATTAAAGTGCGTTAGTGGTAAAGGGAATTAAAGTTCGTATTTTTTAATTAATCTCTCAATATACGGCTTCTCCATTTCTTTAGTTTCATTCATATAATCCAATAATTTCCATAAGTCTGAAACAAATATTTAAATTAATTTAGAGGACAGGAAAGTGAATTAGTGAATATTACAGAAATATGTGTAAAACTTTAAAAATTCGCATACTAATGGCTTGTCTCTTATCAAATCATGATCATTACCTATTGTATTTTATTTTTCTTGTACCCGATAAGTAAAAAAAAATGGAGAAATTATGTAATCTGCTTTAGACATACGTCATTTACGTATGAACCGAGTTTCTTCATAGAAAACGGTTTAAAAAGAATTTTTATGGGCGATGAGAAAGAAGTTGTTTGTATTTGTATTGTAAGTGTTTACAGGGTCATAGAGGGTGTCCCAGAAGAAGCCTGTCAAACAGAAACCCTAGACATTAGATTTTATGTTTATTTAACCAAAATTACCCTAATCCGAAAATGTTTAAAAGGGGAGCTAGGTAAGAAGCAAAGCCAACAATCTTGGCCTACGAATAACTTTCTTTGATCTTATTACGTAGCTTATACATGACTTTCCATTTAGGTGTACCTGATGATGAAGTAATTTACTTCGAAACCAGTCACTAATAAATTGAATGTGTGAGATAAAAAGGACTTTTCTTTACAACTTCATACTCAAAATTAAATGAACTATTAAACAAGTTTGGTGAAAGATTTGATTACATATTGCTAGTAACTTACTTTTTTTGTCATCACTGCTCATAAACATGGCAATTGCGCCAAACCTTTTGACCTCTGTGAAATAATTTAGTATGTTGAATATGGGATCCTTATTTTCAATAAAGTGTTTCACCAATATATCCAAAATACTACTAAATATGGCGCTGTCTAATGAATTTAAAAACAATTTGGGTATATCGTGAGGTTCTATCGCTTTAAGGTATTTGTATTTATCAGTAGTAGTTTTGAAATTCTTCCATGATGTGTAGAACTGCACAGAAGTTCTAGGATAATCAAATTGAACGATGGCATCATTGATTTCTGTTAACTTTTTGTTATCGTTGACAGTGTTTTTTATATCTTTAGGTGTGGTCCAAGGTTCTAACTTTTCAATTACTTTCAGATCTTCCGTTCTAAGACACGATAGTTTACTTTCTGGCTTGGGTAAGGAAAAGTTATTCGTTTCTGGTTCTACGAATTTATCAGACTTTTGTTTTTTAAAGGCAGAAATTGGTTTTCGAGATTCTTCATCTGTATTTTCCACAATACTTTGTTTAAATGGTTCCTCTTGGGGTTTTTTGACAATCTCTTGTTTTTCTAAAACGTGTTGTTTAATTGGGGTATCAATAACTTCTACAATTGAAGGATTCGTTTTAGTTTCCACTCCTATTCCATCAATTTCTGTTATTTCCACACGTTTTAGTGGTTTTTTGGATCGCGTATGAGGAGGTTTTTTTACTGGTTTAACTTCTATTATTTCAGCACTTGATGACCATATAGAAGTAGGTTTACTGTCATCAATTTTCTTTTCTGGTGCTTGATATTGTTCTTTTGGAGGGATATAAATGGGTTTAATGGTATTGAAATTGTTGGAGTTTGATTTGTTTCTAGAAGCTGTGAATTTCGACACAGGCCGTTGATCAGGCTGAAAAATTAATAATTACAATTTGTAAGATAATAAAGATAACAAGCATTTTGGGGAGGTTGTAGCTGTAATTTGAACAATACTATTTTTTGTCTGCAATGTGAACAATTTTGAGTCATATAAGCCACATTTTGTTAGACAATAAATTTTAATCTTAAGGGCATTCTTACTTTTTTTTAGATGGTACATTTCTAATTTTAATTTTTATTTGGTAAAATGTAACGCAGTGAAACCGACGTGAAGATATCTTTTAGTTGAATAGATCAAAAGTTGACAAATTCGTTATTCACATGAACGTCGCTTGCTGATGTGCTGCAATCGAACTGGTTACTCTCAATAACGTCGCTTTGTCAAATGCTGTAATTAACTGGTCCATTAGGGCCGCCTATTAGAGGGTATTTCTGTTTTCAGTGGCCGACGTATTTAAAGATTCTTCAGCTAGGTATGCTGTTTTTTTAAATTTTCAGTACGACTTACCGATTTAGCATACTACAAAAATTATGTTATTGGATTTAAACGCAAGTTAAGTTCACTTTAAATCTTCATATTTTATTACGAATAATTTGATGGGTTGCACAAAATTGATCGAATACATTTGATCGAAAAGAAAAATTATCAAAAAGAACAATGATCGAAAGGAAAATTGTTTAAGAATAGATTTGACAGAAAAAGTAATTGATCGAAAAACCAAATATACCTAAAACTGAAAAAACTTAATTTTCCTAACCTGTGCGAGATAAATTTGAATGGCTTCAGGCCGGACAGGTTACGTAAATTGGTTAAGAATTTTTGATTTTTCATTTTAATATATATTTTTTGCGAAGCAACCCTCGACGGCTTCAGGCCGCACAGGTTAGATAAATAACTTAATTTAATTTACCTAACCTGTCTGAGAGCAATCAGTAAAATTTAAATAGCTCCAGGTCGCTCAGGTTAGGTAAATTAGTTAAGTTATTTTTATTTTTTCTCATTTTTTTTTTGTAAAATAACCTTCGATGGCCTCAGGCTGCACAGGTTAGGTAAATTAATTGTTTTTTAAATGAGCCAGCTATTGTTTGAGAATATCGAAAAATCTGACGATGTACGCTGAGTTTAGATTCCCCGGTAATAGGGATTAGACGGACGGTTGCATTTCGTTTGATTTTTTATTTTTTACTATTTTTAAAGTTGATTTTCGTTATACTGTCCTTTTGATGTAATGAATTTTATATCTATTGCCTTTCGATAAAATATATATTCGATCAAATGTTATTCGATAAAATGTATTTTTGATAAAATTTACAATTCAATCAAATGTTTTTCGATCAGTTTTTTACCACCCCAATTTGATACCGCACGATAAATACGTAGGTACTTTAATTCATCCATATTAGGGCCAATTTCATAATCGAGCCTCCTTTAAAAAATGTCATTTCATAATGGTTTTCCTAATGTACTTTTACTAAAACGTGCTTTAACAAAATTTTACCATGTTGGTATTGCTGATCTGTGTTTAATTCTAACATTAACCGGAATATTAGCCACAAAAATGTTAAGTTTCCTAAAAAATGTTTGGTAAATGTTTTGTAAAATGATCATGTAAGCTCTTCGGGTTTTTCCAAAGTAGGTGAAAAAGAAATTGAACGTTTTGAAATTTAATTATTCTAGGAATTAATATCTGCAATGTAGGACACAGGAAGCAGGGTAATGCTATGGGTAATCCTATTAACAATTGTAAGAACCCTTTTATCGAAAGTACGAACCTCAGAGTACCTATATGTAATTACAAATGATTGCTTTTAATCCAAATAATTTTTTCAGGCACCCTGTATCTGACTTGAAATTTAGTCTAAATAGATAAATTTAGCTACATTTTCATAGTTTTATGTAAATAATCTGTTGCTGTTCCGTGTCCCTTTCCATTCGAGACACAATGTATTTTTAATTTAAGAAATTTAACGATCCCGAAAACTCCCTCTATCAAAATTATATAAAGATCAAAGTGATTTTGTTTTCTTTTTATTTTTTAAAATTTTTGACCATTTTCAGATGAATTTTGTACCAAATTTAAAGAAAGTAATTCAAAGTTCAAAAGTTCTTTGAGCTACAAAAAAGATTATAGACACACAGAAACACGTGCACTCATGGCGCCCAATCCACAGGATCACTTCTTGTTTGCTGGCCGCCGCGTCTCCATGACAAAAAAGAAAGCATGGGAAGGATAGTACACGCTTGGATTTTGCATTAAAAACAATGCATTTTTATAATGGAATTGTGGCAATTCTAACGCATCAAATTAATTGAAATTTTAGAAGCATGTTATGAACATATAAATAAAGTCAGCTCTCTTTCGTTTTTTTGATATTTATGAAAATATACGCGTAATACTTTTTTGAAGTTAGACGAGTTCAAGTCGACTTTCAATTTTTTTAATGTGTCTTCTATTTATTTTATGAAAATTTTGAATGAAGAGCAATCTAAGTTTCAGTTGTTTATATAATATATATTTTTTTCAATAACATCCGAATACTAGATCAGTTACAATTCTTTAATAAAAATCCTTAAAATGTAAGCTTATTTTCAAAAGTAAGAATCCCCTTAACATCGTTGTTCATTTTGAAATTTCTTGTATCAAACATAAAAATAAAACAAATTCTTAAACTATATAACGCTCCTTAAACATGACAAGTCGACAACTTGTGGTTACCCATACCCAGATCTGAACTGGTTAAAGAAGCAATTACAACTGGTAATAAAAGCTTATTATAATTTGACGAAGTTTTGCATAATTATATTTAGTGTTTATAAGTTGCTGTAGCTTAGACAATAAACTGAATGATATAGAATTGAGGAAGAGACGAAAGAAAACTTCTGAGTGTAAAAAAGAAAAAATAAAACATGTGGTCGAATATTCGTGAGAGTTGTGAATTTTATTTCCTTAATTTAATAATTACCTTTTCCCTGTCCCTTTTTAATACAACTGACAATTTCAGTAATTCCGCCTTAGACTCCTTATTGTTGGGTTCCATTATTAAAACTTTTTGAAGATCAACTTCGGCATGTTCTAATTTGTTTAACATCATCCTAGCAGCTGCTCTTCTTTGATATGCCTTTACGTAAGTATCATCTAATTTTAATGAAAGATTGCAATCATTTTCAGCTTCCTCATATCTAAGAAATAACAAATAACAGGATTTATAGAAACTAGAAAGAATTGTTTATTAAAAAGAAATGATATGATCTACAAGAATTTTAGGTATATGCTTTAAAAATCTATAATAAAATTTTTATCCAGCATAACTTAATAAACAAAATAGATATAGTATGTCATCTGATGGAAGCATAAATTGGTGTGTGTATATAAACAATTATATTGGAAAGTATAAACCTGCAGAACAACTATGGGCTGGGGCTAGCATATATCTATAAATAAATAGGCAGAGACAAAATAGTTCAGTACCATTTTGTCCGTTTTGACTATTTTCGCGATGATGTCTGTGTGTTTGTATCCACCATAACTCATGAACCGATACACAGAAAAACACCAAATTTTAAAATTAAGCTTTATTCCAGCGTCCAATGAACTGATTAGATTTTGGGCAGGGTCGGAACATCTGGGGGGGGGGGGTACTTTATAGGTGGTTATTTTTATATTTTATGGAATATATCTGTTATTTACGTTTGGAGAAGAAAATTCTTTAAATAAAAGTAACATCTAATATTATTAACTATAATTTTTGTTTTATTCAAAATTTTCCTAAAATGTTCCGTATTCGAGAAATTTGACAAAATGTAAAGAAATCATTTTTTATAAAAATTGTTCAAATAAAAGTTGTTTGTAATATAATTCTCTATAATTTTTATTCTATACATAATTTCTCTAAAATGGACCGTATTCGAGATATTTGAGAAAATGTGTAAATATCTAATTTTGAAGAAAACTCAAAAACATTAAATTTTAAACTTAAGTTTAATTTCGTCCTGACGAGAAATGATCAGATTTTGGACAAAGTTGGAACATCTGGGGGGGGGGGGGGGTACTTTATGGGAGGCCGTTTTTATATTTTATAGAATATATCTGTTATTTATGTTTGGAGAAGAAAATTGTTCAAATAAAAGTTACTTCTAATTTTTGCCTTATGTCAAATTTTTCTGAAATGGTCCGTATTCGAGAAATTTGACAAAATGTGCAAAATTCTGATTTTTAAGAAAATTGTTAAACTAAAAGTTGTTTGCGATATCGATCTCTATAATTTTTGTTTTTACATGATTTTTCTAAAATGGACCGTAATGGAAAAATTGGAGGAGAAGTGCTAAATTTAAATTTTTCAATATTTTCGTTTTCAATGAATATCTATAGAAAAATGTTTCGAGTTAGATGTATGTAGAAAATGTATATATTTAGTTTATCCTCTAAACATTTATAGAGGTGCTGCAATAGATTGTACAAAATAACCGGAAAAAGCCTATACTAACTAGATAGGAAAGTCATGTGTTGGACACATCAAATTTTTTTGTTTGTTACCCCAATCGATATATTCTTAGTTTATACTTTGTGAAGACTAATTATGTGTTGAATACTTTTTTTCATTGAAGTTATTGATTATTAAACAGTTTGAAGCTTTTACTAATTTTTATTTAATTTTAAACTGTTGAACAGTATTTTCTGGAAACTCTAAAAATGTGAGTTATCTTGTTTTTGTAGTAATCCGATGGGATATATTTCTAATTTGTGTTTTATTTATTAGAGGTTCTCCCTAAGTAATTTTAAATGGATGGCCTAAATAAAGGGTAATCATTCAAAAATATTGCGGACCTTATAAAGCAAACATACGTATGTGGCATGAACGAAAAAAAAAAAGGTTATAGTGAACATGAACACCCTTAATTTGGAAGCGACATGGAAAATATTACATGCACGGATAATGGATCGCGAAAAACTAAAAAAAAAATTACCCCCTCCCACCCCCAATGATATGGGACAGAAAAAACTCAAAGCGTAGCCATAAGCCTAGCCTGAAACGATTTTAAACTGTCCAACTTCTCCATATCCCTATCTCATCCACACCACATGGGAGGTCAAAATATATGTATAGAACCCCTAGACTTAGGAAAATGAACTTCGGGTACGGCGGATTGGACTTTAAGATGAAAAAAATTTCACCCCCCTCTATATGTAGGTGGTGGGGGGTGAATCCCCCCAAGTGTAGGTGGGGCATAATTCGGGTATTTTGAGATATTGGTTGTATGGAGAATTAAAAAATTAGAAAAATTAAGAAAAATTATAAAAAAAAAATAGAAAAAGAAAAGAAATTTCGAAGAGTAAGCTGTCCTCCCTCCCTCACTCCTTTTTTTAATACCTTTTCTGTGCTGTTAACGATTATTTTTGATATGGTTCATGACGGTGCTCGCTGAGGTCAGATATAGTAGAGCAAAGGGGGTTACCCACACTCAACCCACTTTTTTAGGGACCTCAAGAGTAACCTCAAAATAAAAATTGTGTTTCATATCATATCAATAAATGGGGGTTTTATTGAATTTTTTTTTTATTATATTGGTACTGAACTATGTTGTATCGTAAGTACACACAAATGTATGGTTGCAGATATACAATGAACGAATTTATAAGAAAAAAAAAATGTTAGAAACATGCAAATGCATATATGTTTTCCTCAAATTTTCATTAATGATGATGGTCAAATTTCGACCACTGGGCGAACACTAGTTATATTAAATAGGGAAATATAAACATCAAAAGGAACAATACTTACTTACTAAGTTTTAAGTAACAAAGTGCTCGGTTTGCATAGAAAATCGGATCATATGAATAACAGTCAATAGCTTTTGTATAACATTTAATTGCTTGCTCCCATTCTTGATTCTTGACAAATTTATTTCCCTAAAAGCATTAACAATAGATTAATTATAGTATAAACACAATATAAGGCTTGTAAAACAAAATAATGAAATTTTTATTCATTTATGTAGGCACGCACGCACACTTGGTGATTTATATAGTTTTTAATAAAAAACTTGAATAAAATAGTGTTTATGTAGAGCCAGTTGCAATAACTTTCTTTAAAATTTTGTATACAGGAAAACTTTGATAGATATTTAGACTGTTCATGTCATTCAGACAGATCATAATCTGAAGCAATGTCAAAGTTTATCAGATTCTTAAATTTTAATGGATGTTTTTGATACCGTCTGATAGAGACTTTCAATTTAGTTTTTTTGTTACAAAAATAGTAACTTGTTTTTGTAGTTGATATCAAGCATGGCTAATTAGAAAATTGATACATTTTATGTTATGTTATTTCAATTGAATCTTTTATTGTACTCTTCACACAGAAGTCTATGCTGAGTATTATAGGTTTACTTTCGAGAAATCAAAATTTTTAATATTGATCCAAATTTAAAAATTGCATTGACAAATAGTTGTAATAATTTTTGGAAAAAATGTTGCTCTTAAAATACAAATACATAAGGTGAGTTATATAATAATAAATATCATGATTGACATAATTTAATAATAATAAATTAAATAATAGAAACTGCCTTAATTGGCAAGCAGTTTTGTTTGTTTTTTCATCTTATCTTTCAAAAATAATGAAAGATGGGTGTATTCATATCAGCTGTTATGTAATTTAGCTTGCTTGATTGGGCAAAATTAGTTTGTACTAGCTTTTTAGAGCTGTAAGCATTAGTAAAAGTTTGCTTTCGGAAATCTCAATTTTTATTAAAAATATTTTACCATTCTTTCAAGATTTGTATATTATAATTAACAATTAGCCAACAAACTTTAGAACAATTTTTGGAGTAAAAAAGTTTTGTACAGTTTTTATTTATTCTTTTTTGGGTACCTGAATATCAGATGAATGTAGGCAATCTTTTAGATATGTATCAGAAAAATACCTCATAGAATCATAGATTGTTTTTATCTTGCAATTTATCATACACTTTATATGTGAATGAATGATGAGGCGCCCATAAAATGTAACAAAGTACAAGCCAAAGCAGGCTGAAGGACCTCGGTGAATGGCCTTTTGTAACTTTCTTTAAGTTTCAATAAAGCATTTATTATTATTATAAGCCAAATCTGAGTAAGTGGAAGTGAGCAGGAAGTCACATGTACCTTGTATGAGGCCACAAAATGGGTAATGCATCACTCAGTGGCAGTTGTTTGTTTCATGTGTTGTCTTATTATACATTGTCCAGTTCATTGTTAAATAAAGGATCTGTAGATTTCAGTACCTGTATATTATTTATAATCAAAATTTTAAAATATCTATTATCATAAATTTCCAAGATATCCACTGCAATTGTTTAATCAATAACTAGGCAACACAGTATGGATCAAACTAATCAGTATGCATAGTGATAGTGTAGGTATCTGGCTGTTTAATGATAATCGTATTTTTACCTTTTCTTTTTCAACAATTGCTTCATCATACATATTTTCATTGCATTCATCTGTAAGATCTGAATCATCTTTTAAATCGTCTTCTAGTCTTTCCATCTCTGCATCAGCATCAAATTTATCCCAAGCTGCATAATCAGTACCACCTATTCTTGAAACAGGAGCTTTGGACTTCATTGGACCTTTAAGTTTTTTATGTACTTTTGGAGGGACCGGTGTCTCCTTAAAATATACTATTGTAGAATTAAGGGTTTAAAAAAGAAAGTTACAATAAATGAGTACCTGTTTGCCTTTTTTTAAAGTTTCTTCTTTTCGCTTCATATCTTCTCCCCAATTCTTTAAATCTTTTGAGAACTCGAGAAGATCGTTACTATTTTGACGAATTGCTTTTTGTAAAAGCATTGGATTGTTCATTTTCACAATAAATTACTTCTTTTGGGTTTGATTTTACAAATGCGGTTTTTGACAGACAAATTACTCACAACTCACAACAATCAATAAGTACGAAGCTAGCTACACTCATCCATCCAACGTTGCCAAATGTTTGGTCTTCTTTGTTTGAACGGCCTCTTATGTTATATCGTATCTAGACCTTAGGTAGGCAACACATTTAACACTATACTGGCTCTTATTATAATCATAACCAGTGGCGGAGTTAGCAATTTTCCGCTGTACGCCTAGCCTAAGTTGACGCTCTATATGAAATATACTGTGCAAATTCGCCGCGAATTTATTTTTGGAAACTAACTTTCCTAGCATTTTCTAAAATAAGTTGACTGCAGACAACTCTCGCTGTTAAAAATAAAGTTAACATAATTTCGATACATATAAAACAACACTAAAATATTTATTATAACAATACCTAATAATAATTAATAACTAGAATGGAGATATATAATGCTTGGCATTCTATATTATACTCTTCACAGTAACATACCCCCTTAACCACCATTTTCAATCAGATTTTTTTTAGAATCGATAGGCTTCATCTTCTTATAAAGCTTGCTTTTTCCTGAAGATTTCAATTTGATATCGTTTTTTGTTTCTGAGTTAGGATTTTTTTTAATATTTCAACCCCCTTATCCCCCATTTTTATTCACATTTTTTTCAGGATCATTTCCTTATATATAGTTTGATTTTTACAAAAAAATGCATATGGATATCGTTTTTGGTTTTTGATTTCTATTATTTTTATTTCAACTCTCGTAACTCTCATTTTCTTCAGATTTTTAAATAAATAGGCTTTGTCCCTTTATAGAGCTTGTTTTTTTGCCAAAAATTTCATGTTGATATTATTGTTCGTTTTTGAGTTAGGTTTTTTTTTTTAATAACTAAACCCCATTTTTATTCAAATTTTTTTCAGAATCAATAGATTTAATCTTCTTATAAAGCTTGATTTTAACTAAACATTTCATGTTGATATTGCTTTTTATTTTTGATTTAAGATTTTTTTATTTCAATCCCCCTTAAACTCCTCATTTTTAATAAGATTTTTTTTATTCAAATGACTTTTCCCCTTGATTTCACTAAAAATTTCAAGTTGATATTATTTTTCGTTTTTGAATTAGGATTTTTTTTAATATTTCAACCTCCCATAACCCCCTATTTCTATTCGGATTTTTTTCAGAATCAATAGGGTCCATCTTCTTATAGAGAGTGATTTTAACTAAACATTTGATGTTGATATCGCTTTTCGTTTTTGATGTACGATTTTTTTTAATTTCAATCGCTTTTAAGTCCAAAGTTTTAATCCGTTTTTTTTTTGAAAATTAATAAACTTCGTCCCCTTATACGACTTGATTTTGGTTAAAAAATTTCAAGTTGATATAATTTTTCATTCCAGGGTTAGGATTTTTTAAAATATATCCACCCACCTTAATCCCTATTTTTATTTATTTTTTTTTTCAAAATAAATTTTCTTCGTCCTCTGATAGAGCTTGATGATTTTTACTGAAATTTTGTTTGACTTATCGTGCGGACCCGTTCATTATATTATTTTTCACTCTTTTTGTTTTTTTATCATATTTTATATCATTTTAAACAAATATATTAATAACGGAAAATATTTTAATTATATTTTAAAAATAAAACGTGATATCAGAAATTTGATGAGAAGGATTTTGATACAAAAATTTCAAATTTTTGCCAATAAAAATTTTGAAACATATGTGGGTACAGCAATTACCATCATGTTAAATGGGTGTTAAAGGAACAAATAAATAGAGAACAGCATAGGCTCTGGTTTAAACTTCCTGGACTTAGACAGTCCAAAGAGGGGCCATCCACGAGCAGACAACATCAACTGCTAAACCTTTGCAGAAGCGAACTCAAGGCCGTAATAAGACTCCTTACAGGACACTGCGGCCTTAGAAGATAACTAAATCTCTTAGGGATATCTGATGACTCCATATGTAGAATATGTGAAGAGGAGGACGAAACTCCTATTCACATACTATGCCACTGTCGGAACCTTAAATGGGAACGGGAATGGTACTTCGGGGTTCAATATCCGGAACCTGAAGAAATCGCGACAGCGCCCATCAGACATATTCTTGAATTCATCAAGAAAATAAATCTAATGGGAGAGAAACTGTGAGGGGTACAATAAGCCTAGAGCTTCAGTACAAGTGGGCATTGAACCACGCCCTAATTTAGATAGATATGTACAGCAATTATTACATAATGTAACAAAATTACGTCCATTAATATGTGATATGTCAATACAAATAAAACAAAAATAAAAGGCAAAAAAACGTTTAGTAGTTTATTAATATACTTGCAATCAGAATGAATAGATTACAGTGGTCTATACTCTACATAATCTTTCTTTGACTTTTTACTTTCCTATCTGTATACAGCTATAAGGAAAGTATAGGAATCATGATTTTTTTCGACCTCGAGTTTTCGATGGATTTTTACGTTTTGAGGTCCCCTGAATCCGTTTTGACTATTTTCGCGATGATGTCTGTGTGTGTGTTTGTGTGTGTGTGTGTCTGTGTGTCGCATAACTCATGAACCGATACACGGAAAAACACCAAATTTTAAACTTAGGCTTTGTTCCAGCGTCCAATGAGCTGATTAGATTTTGGGCAGAGTCGGAACATCTGGGGGGTACTTTATAGGTAGTCATTTTTATATTTTATGGAATATATCTGTTATTTACGTTTGGGGAAGAAAATTTTTTAAATAAAAGTTACTTCATATATTATTATCTATAATTTTTGTTCTATACAAAATTTTCCTAAAATAGTTCGTATTCGAGAAATTTGACAAAATGTAAAAAAATATTTTTTTATAAAAATTGTTCAAACAAAAGTTGTTTGTAATATAATTTTCTATAATTTTTATCCTATACATAATTTCTCTAAAATGGACCGTATTCGAGATATTTAAGAAAATGTGTAAATTTCGAAATTTGAAGAAAACTCAAAAACGGATAAAGAAAAGAACATTAAATTTTAAAATTAAGTTTTATTTCGGCCTGACGTGAAATGATTAGATTTTGGACAAAGTCGGAACATCTGGGGGGTACTTTATGGGAGGCCGTTTTTATATTTTATGGAATATATCTGTTATTTATGTTTGGAGAAAAAAATTGTTCAAATAAAAGTTACTTCTAATATTATTATCTATAATTTTTGCTTCATGTAAAAATTTCCTGAAATGGTCCGTATTCGAGAAATTTGACAAAATGTTCAAAATTCTGATTTTTATGAAAATTTTTGAAACAAAAGTTGTTTGCGATATCGATCTCTATAATTTTTGTTTATACATGATTTTTCTAAAATGGACCGTAATGGAAAAATTGTAGGAAAAGTGCTAATTTAAATTTTTCAGTATTTTCGTTTTCAATGAATATCTATAGAAAAATGTTTCGAAGTAGATGTATGTGGAAAATGTATATATTTAGTTTATCCTCCTCTAAACATTTATAGAGGTGCTGCAATAGGTTGTACAAAATAACCGGAAAAAGCCTATAATAACTAGATAGGAAAGTCATGTGTTGGACACATCAGATTTTTATATACGCGAACTCGTGGATTACATTTTCGAAGTCACCTGAAATTTGTAAACATTTGGAAAATAATCGGCGTCGCAGTAATGAAGACGACTAAGTTAAAAGTTCTAGGGGACCCCCTATGCCCCCTCCCTAAATTTGCCACTGAGATCAAAATATGGTTCCTTTTGACTAACGTTGTACTGTATCATTGAACTAACACTGAACCACCACTGAACTGCAACAGTTATAGTTTAGTGTGTACCAACAATAGATTCATTGGAAGACATATTGTCATTGCAAAGTCATTGCAAGAACTTTCCCCATCTATCCGTTTACATAGCAAGTCATAGAAGCAGGATTTTTTTTTCAAAGGAAACTGTAAATTTGTCGTTACGGCAACCTGTCCAATGTTACAGCGTCAGCATACATTTTTCTTTTTTCCTTGTCTTCTTTATTGTTGTATGGGTTTGCTTTTTTACTATCTACCTAGTGCCAGTTTCGTTTTTATTTTTTAAAGTTTTTATTTGATACAACATGCGCTTCTTGGCAAGCCAGATACCGCAACAGATAGTCTTAGTGAAAAATTGTGCCCATATAGCTAAAGAAGAAGACAAGGAAAAAAGAAAAAAATTATGCTGACGCCGTAACTTTAGACAGATTGCCGAAAAGATAATTTACAGTTTCCTTTTAAATAAAATACTGTTTCAATTACTTGCTATGTAAACTGATAGATGGCGCAAAGATCTTGCAATGATCTTCCAACTGCAATATGTCTTCTGATGAAATCATCTATTTCAGTGATGTAACTAGGAGAATGTGGTGAGAAAACGACAGATTATTCGAATATAAGGTGTTTATCATGGAGGAAGGATTATTAAGAGTTGCCGTGTCTTTGTAGAAATTTGGCAACAAGTTTGCTTGCAGCGACCTGTGGGTGCGGGTGGTTGAACTATTCCTACTCTGTCGGTAACGTAATTACCTGTATTATTAACTACGCTATTACTCTGTCGGTAATGTAGTTACCCGTAATATATTTAATTTGAAAATTGGCGGCATTCTTTTCTACTAAAAGGAGAATTTACTTTAGCAATTATTATTTTCTATCTAATACGAAATATAACCATGCAAAATTTCAGATCGTTTTTTTCGTGTAGGTAAACGTTAAATATGTTCCTCTGAAGCCACTTTTTCAAAATTTGGCCAAATTTTGATGGCAAAAAATAGCAAAATTTTGTTAGCGTAAAGATTTTCTCAATTTTTAAGAAAATAATTAAATCAAAGGTACATATTTTTCATTCACAAAAAAATAAAATAAACTATAGAAATGTTCATGGCTCTATTTTGTATTGGTTAGAAAAAGATAGTTGCTGAAGTAAATTTTCCTCTTAATTATAATTAAAATGTTGCTTTTTTATTATGAATTATGAAATGCCAATAAAAATGTAAAATTCTATGACATATAATTATGAGCTGTAAAATAAATTCCATACAAAGCTTTATATTATTATATTTACTA